GAGCCACAGCACCACTTCCGGCTTTTTTCTTTTTGCTTATGTGGTGCTGAGGAATTGAACCCAGGGCCTCAGGCATGCAAGGCAAGCGCTCTACCACTGGGCCACCTTCCCAGCCCCGAAGTAGATTAATTTTTAAAGACATTTCTACAGTAATTTTGCCATCTCCTTATCATTTTCAAATGTATTATGGTCTTGTTTTTCTTTAATCTATTACTAATTTGTTTAGATTTTTATTAGAATCCTACATATTAATCAACCATAGTCTCTAGACTTTAAGTATTAGGAATATTAGTGTTAAAAACATTTTCAGAGAAACCATGCATGCATGGCCATTTCAGGCACACATTTAGACAAATATCTTCCAGTTATAAACATAAAGCCAAACACACATAAAAGAACTCCAGATTCATAAGATTCAAAGTAAGTCAAAACAGACTAAAGTAATACTAAAGGAAATCATTTTAGAATGTACATATAGCCATATATATAAGCAGGTTGATAGATGAATAACAGGTAGAAGCCATGAGAGTTGATGTTTGTTCTTTCTCTACCAAAAATACCAGAAAAACTAGTTTCTCTAGAATACCCCTATCAAGATTTTTCTCTCTATATATAAAGCTATACTGTGTGAATAAAGGATTGGGTTTTTTTTTTTTTTTGCTAGTAACTTGGAAACTTTTTTTTCAATTGTAAATGAACTAAACACTGCCTGGTGTTCTGTAAGCCGAAATACCAATATCTCAGTGAAGGATGAAAAGCAATTCATACATATTAATGTACCGACTACTTGACTCTGGGGCTAAGGATTAAATTCAGATCGTATTTGAATTTGATCTTTACATGAATATTTTAATCTTACCTTGAACTTGTTCAGAACATCTCTCTCTGGCCTTTTCTCTCATTATTTTAGGGATCAGAACATCTTTTTCAACATGTCTGAGATGCTGCTCTAGAAAAAAAAAATTCTTTGTTATAGTAAAGTCTCAAGTAAATCATCAGATTAGGAGAAAAATAAGCACTCTGTTTATTTTAAATAATAGACTATATAACTATGATTTTAAGTGGTTCTTTTAACCCTTGATAAAATTGTGATTATCTTAGTCACTAGAAATTATTCAAAAGAATTTTTTGATATATGACAAAATGGAAGGGTTAGATCATAGATATCTCTCTAAAAATTTCTACCTTTTTGTAACATTTCCTTGGATAATGTATTCAGGTAGATTGGTTTCATGGAATTCATGCAAGATTTTCATCCATACTGAGATCCAAGGGTAGATGAAGGTCCTATCCACCCTTGAATATGAGGCTGCACATGAGTAGTTCATCCCAATAAAAGAAGCCTAAGAAACAAAGATTTGGCAGAAGAAAAAGCAGCACTACAAGTCCATCTACACAACAAATTCCTGTGCATTTAAAACATAATTTCTATCATGAAAGTAAAAGAGCAAAGTAAGTAACCTGTTATTGGCCTCCACTTTTTTGTTAAATTCTGAGTGCCCTGGAAAACCAAGAAAAAGTAAGTGCCCTCAGTAAAAAATAAAATGACAAAGTCAGATTAAAGGAAATTTCCATAGAGTATCCGTAATAAAAATAATACCAAACTGAGTGGTGCTCTGTGCTCAGAAGCAGTAAACATGAATAAGAAACTTCCTGGAGAAAACTCACTTATTGTTGGTTAAAAGACCTCAGCAGGAGCCAAATAGTCACTTGGAATGTATCCCATCTAGAGATATCTAGGAAAACTACGAACCCCTAAAATCTTTCTGGCAATATGCTCTTTCCCACAGCCTCTGAAAACAGACAGCAATGGACTAATACATGTCATATGTGTATATCATATATGTAACATATATATGATATGTATTATATATATCGGGGCATCTCAAAAAACAAAACTAACAGCAACGTATCCAAGAATTACCTTTGTATGACAAAGGTGAAACAGACTAACCGTTCTGAACTAAATAAGCAACTCCTAAGAAAGTTAAAGAATAGGGAAATGAGATTTTAATGCAAGTGTAATAAATTTACTGAGGCAGATCAAAAAATTTGTACACTGAAATGGACTATGGATTATCTGAAAGCACTTTGATAAAATGTTTGAAACACCAAAACTCTAAAAGCTTCTAAACAGGGGGGAAAATGCACAAAGGAATGAGAACCAAATGAACATCTCATCCCACTAGCACAAGACAACAGAAATAACTTGAAAGTTCTGAATAATAATTATGTTCTATCTAATAAAACTTATTTAAAGACACTTGTTCAAATATAAAAACTAAAATGTTTACCTCTTTTAAGCCAGAAAGAAAAACAAGTAACTTCTACTACCACTGCTGTGCAATAACCATCAATGGAACTCAATGATGTAGAACAATAAACATTTTACTATGCATAGGCACCCAACAGGTCAAAAGGGCCTCATCTGGGAAGACTCAATGACTGGTGTCGATTTCAACAGCTGCAAAAGCTGCATCTGGAGGATTTACTTCCAAAATTACTTCTTTCTTCATGTATGTGCCTGACATCTGGGCTGAAATGGTCAAAGGAAGGAGCTCAGTTATGACTGTAAAACAGACCACCAACACATGGCCTCTCCATTTGGTTGTGTTCTCGCATTATAGTACCTGGGTCTAAAAAAAGAACAAGCTACAAATGAAGGTCTGGAGAGTAAGCACTCAGGACAACCAAGTGAAAGCTAAATGTCCTTCTTGACCTTGTTATGGAAGCAAGCATCATTCCCACTACATTAAATGATTTCAGGGTAGAAAGAATAGCCCAAGTTCAAATGTGTCCAGACCACTTCACAAAATCATGAGGGGTACGGGAGATAATGCCACAATCTCCTTTACAAAAAAATAAAGCTACCACAAAAAAAGAGAACAACTCTGATAAAAGGATCATGATGCACAAATATGAAATATGAAAAGCCTATTAGATAAATATACCTTTAATTTTACATTTTAAAATATTAAGGTGTTTGAAAGATTAACTTGACCTAGTAAATATTTCCAGAAAACTCCATTCAAATAACAGCGGAATATTTACTAATATAAACCATACTATGAAACAAATCTCCCTAAAAATGAAGAAATTCAAGCTACACAAGCTGACATCAAATATCTTTGGATAATCTACAAATATTGAAGATAAATAACATACTTTGAAATAACCTATGGATCTAAGATGTTATCAAAAAGGGAATATGAAACTTTTGGGAATGAAAACATATAAAAGTTGTGTGATAACTAGCCAGTTGGCGTTGTGCAGGTCTGCAATTCTAATACTTGGGAAGAGAAGGTAATTGGTAAGAGTTTTTACTTCTCAAAAGAAGTAAAAATGTCCAAAAGATACATGAAGAAATGGTCAGTATCTCTGGACTTAAAGCAAATGCAAATCCAAAAGTCAGGCCAGCCTGAGCTGGAAAATGAGACTCAGCCTCAAAACACACACACACACACACACACACACACACACACACACACACACACACACACACACACACACACACACACACACACACACACACAAAACCATCAACAATAAAATTGTATAATGCAGTCAAAACAACTTACACAGAAATTTGTAGCACTGAAAGCCTAATCAACTTATGCTTCTACACTGAAATACAGCTAGCACCCCCCCACACACACACCAAAAAAAAAGAAAGAAATTTCACACAAAGCAAGTAAAAGAAAGGAAATAGTATAAGTCAAAGTAGAAATGAACAAAACAAAAAGCAGTCAAGCAAAAACAATAGACATAAAATCAATGGAACAAAAACTGGTTCTTTGAGATCACTAAAATTGATAAATCAGTAACCAAACTGATGGGGGGGGGAATCACAATTATAAACATCAAAAATGACCAATAGATTTAAATGATAAAGATTACCAAAAAATAGCCTAATAAATGCAATAACTAAAATGAAATGAACAAACTCCTTTAAAAAAAACTTAAAAAAAAAAACTCACTCAAGATATCCAGATACTCTAATCCTAAATGAGCTAATAAACTAAAGAGAAACTTCTCAGAAGAAGTAAAAATGTCCAAAAGAAACATGAAAAAATGTTCAATATCTCTGGCCTTAAAGGAAATGCAAATCAAAACAAACTGAGATTCCACCTCACTCCTGTTAGAAGAACCAAAAATGAAGAACACAATAGGGTGACGCTGTCCAAAAAGAAATGTACTCTTTACCTGACTTATGTAACTGTAATCCTTCTGTATACCACCTTTATAATAACAATTTTAAAGTTTTTCAAACAAGAATAGAAACAGTAGCAGATGCTGACATGGATGTGAGCAAAGGGAACCCTAATACACTGTTGGTTGCAATGCAAACTTATTCAAACATTCTAGAAAGCAGTATGGAGGTTCTTCAAAAAACTATAATCCATCAATTCCATTCCTGAATATTTGTCCAAAAGATTAAAAATTAGGATACAGTAAGGTTGCCAGCACAATTATGTTCACAGCACTATTCACCATAACCAAGGTACAGAACCAGCCCAGATGCCCCCCAATGGACAAATGGATCCAGAAAATAGGGTATACATAACAATGGAATTTTATTAATCCATTAGAGAGAATGATATTGCAACATTTGCAAACATGGGAGGACCTAGAAAAAATATATATTAAGTGAAGTTAGGCCCAGAGAGACCACAGTTACATGTTTTTCTCATATGTGAAAGCTAGAATTAAGTTTATAAATATAAAAGTAAATACTTTAAGTGTGCACAAATGTATTAAAAGAAATATGGTGGATTTAGGGAAGAACTTAAACAGTGTAATTCCTTAGAAAGGCAAAAATCAGAGCTGGGAAGGTGGCTCAGTGGTAGTGCATGAGGCCCTGGGTTCGATTCCACAGTGCCCAGGCCCAGAGTTCACGCCCCATGACCAACAGAAAAGAAAAAGAAAGGCAAAATTGTTCAACAAAATAAACATTAGAAACCAAGTACCTGAAAGAGGTGGGATTAGGTCAAGGGGAAAGGGGGTAAACAAATGGAAAGAAAAACGGGGAGGGGGAGAATGCAGTCAAAAATTCAATGTATATCCTACAAAATTAAGAAAAGTGAGGAAAGGAGTGGGTTAGGTGAGATGGGTAAGAATGTTGAAAGGGGTGATATCAATCAAGATGCACTGTACTCATAAACTGCTTTGCTGAATGGCAACTCCCATGTACAACTACTTAAAGATAATTTGCATTATAGTCCAAAGAAGTTTCATGGTCAGTCTCCTTGGTATTTAAGGATATTTAAAATATTTCTTAAATATCTCTATTTAAGAAAAAAGGGCAAATTAAGAAAAAAAATGTTTAATTCCATATAACTTCTTCCACAAAATTGCTCTAAGGTCAATACTGCCCTTATACCAAAACCAGACTACAAATTAGCAAAGATACTAGCACTCTAATAAGGTTCCTTATAGATGTAAAAAGATGTATTATAGATGTGAAAATCTTAATAAATGATTCCAAATTGAATTTAGTACTGTTTGAAAAAGATGATACTTCATAACCAAGTAGGGACTATCACAGGATTGCCAGGATAACTGAATATTCATAAACCATTAATTTATCATATTAAAAACTAAACAGTGGAAATCACATAATAATCATAGCATATACCAAGATATGTTTAGCAATTTAACATCTATACCTATAATATTTCCAGTAAAATAAGAACAAAATTTTTTTCTCAACATGTTAAGCAGCAACCCATAGCTAAAACCACATTACTATGACACAAAGAATTCACATCAAGACAGAAAATACTGATCTCACTATTTCTACTCAGCGTTATCCTGGATGGGATCACAGAGGTAAATAATCAAACCTGGCACAATGACTCAGATAAAGTTTCCCTAAATTTGGCCTGTGATGGCCTGAAACCACAACCTTCCCAGTCTGTACTTCCCAAGTAGGTAGAGGGTTGCAGATATGGAAACAGAAATTATGCCTAGCTCTTATTTTTAACAGAAGCAAAATTTATATCATTATTAACACATACAGAGATTATGTTAAAAAGAAATAAATAGATTGCCAGGCACCAGTTGCTCAAGTCTGCAATCCTAGGAACTTGAGAGACTGACATCGTGGCTGCTGTTTGAAGCCAGCTGGAACAGGAAAGTCCATGAAACTCTTATCTCCAATTAACTAGCAAAAAGCCAGAATTGGAGGTGTGGCTCAAATGAGAGTGTCAGACTTGAGCAGAAACACTAAGCAAGAGGCCATGGGTTCAAACCCCAGTACCAGCACACAAAAAAACTTTAAAAAATCTAGATAATAGTAACACAGTAAAACAATGTTGGTGTGATTAAGGTATCTACATCCATCTGAATGATAAAAATGTTGATAGCAAACAATGATAAACTATGCAGAACCAAGATTTAAACTAAAACACACTATTAAATCAAAAGTAATACTAAAAATGGAATCAAAATATTTTCTCTGGCTATTATGGTATCAACTAGAAACTGGTAACAGAAAGAAAACAAAACATTCTTAAAACATTCAATAATTTAATAGCACATTTCTAAATAATTCACAGGTAAAAAGAAAGCCCTCCTCCAAAAGAAAACCATAAAGAATACATACACTGAAGCAAAAAGCAACTTTACAGCAGAAATATAAATGGGATAAACAAAGTAATAATTAGCCAGGCAGCTTCATTATCAAACTCTCCTAAATACATAAAGAACAATTAACACAATTCTACAATCTCTTCCCAACACATTTTAGAAGACCAGTATTTTATCCTTTTACCGAAAGCAGACAGTATTTGTAAAACACACACACACACACACACACACACACACACACACACACAACAGTATCCCTCATGAACACAAATGCAAACATCCTCAACAAAACATCAGTAGATTGAACCTGCCAATTTATAAAAAGAAAACTATATCACAACTAAGTTTAGCCTTATTTTAGCATTACAAAGCTGGCTCACCAACTTAAAATTCAACATAATCATAGTAAATGACCTGGTAAACCCTTTAAGAAAACCTATATAAATTTATAAAATGAAAGTGTAAAACAAACTAGAAAGGAACTTTATTCCAAAGAAGATAATCTGAAAACCCTATAGTTTCCATCTTATTAAGTAATAAAATACTGAATACTTTCCTTATCACAAGAATGTGAACTGAGGGCTGGGAAGGTAGCTCAGTGGTAGAGCACTTGCCTTGCATGCATGAGGCCCTGGGTTCGATTCCTCAGCACCACATAAGCAAAAAAGAAAAAAGCCGGAAGTGGCGC